ATATATATAATATGCCAGTATTTTGATTCCCTTTGCGTTCTGCAGTTTTTAACCCCCCCACCAAGAAGATCAGAAAAATTGACTTGTTAATGGTGTCCATTTTTCATGGCTGTTATCTTGGTAACTAGACTGTGAATATTCCCTGAAGCTGCTGGTGCTGGTGTCAGAGGCGCAAAATGCATAATGGTGCCTACTGCAGAAAGATACAAAAATAAATAAATAAATAAATAAATAAAAGAGAGAAAAACTACTTGGGGATCAAATCCAAGAGTGAAAGTAAAAGTGACAGCCAACCCCAATCTATCTAGTTTCTGTTGAGCTCAAAGAGCCCTGTTTGACAAATTACACAACAATTGAATGTGGAGCTTTTAATAAATAATACACAAACGAGTCAAGTAAGTTGTAGAACCAATCCCCATTTAGGACATACAATCCGTCTCAGCTTGGGTTTTATCCACTGTTTTCACTTGCCTCTCGCAGTTCTCTATATAGTGGATAATTACCCAGTTCAATTGGACAATGGTACTGTGCTTATTTGCTCTGACCCATGTTGCTATGGACCCTGTATGCTCAGTGGAAATCAAAACTCCCACTGCATCCTGAGTTTTGATCTTCTTGTTTGGCTGAATTTAGTCAGAAATGAGCTCTTTAGGCAGCAACAGCATCTGACTTTTCTTTTTAGTGACAAAGACCACAGAAAATACTCTGTATCCTTTTGTGTGCTGTATTTGCGCTCTCTTCTAATCAGTAAAACTCTTCGTAGCGACAGTCTATTTAAATTTACAACAACCTGTGATTTCTCCTCCTACAATGTTTTTATTGCTGTTCAGCCTGATTGACTCATTGAAATACTAGTGCCTTGTTCCATAAGCAACTGTTACACACTCCATGATTCCCCCACAAAAATGTATCTCTACACAGAACTATCCTGCTACCCTTAGTGCAAACTCTGTGTCTTCTATTTTCTTTTGCTCTGGAAATACAAGAGACATGCCTGCTGATTGACAGATCTCAGCCCATTTTAAATTAACTGCAGTAACAGGGCTAAAAGAGCTTGGCCCATTATTTTCTGAATCAAAATAGAAAATCCCTAAATGCTTTCAGTAGAGGGAAGTAGCTCTTCTTACTTGCCTAACTTCACTTTTTCAAGTTGCTGCCAGCTCTCTAAATATTGTGTAGCATTGGTGTTCCTGACATTAACCCAGTTCTTCTTTATCTCATTATTCTCAAACAGTTGATGCAGGCATTCCAGGTTTGGAAAATTCTAACATGCAGGGAAGAAACATTTTCATAATGAAGGGCCATTAGTTAGCTAGTTATCACATGCTCCGCTAGATACCATGGTTGGTTAGACTGTGGTAAATGTATAGMTCTGTTTATAGTTACAAGCTTGAAGGGAGAGTTGACACGACATCATTGAACTTCACATTTCAGGCAGGTTTAAAACAACCTGAACAAAAAATACTATTCAGTGAYACCTATTTTGKAATCTTTTGACATGTTTTTGCCCTCTGTTGTCTAACACACTTGGTTCCCAAATATGGTTGGCCAAAACCWTATTGTGTGCAATWATTCATCAGTAAAACTGTCAATAATTAACATTTGCCACTTTGCAATTACTGCAATTAATGTCATGTAATGTATTTTTGTGTACAAAATCCCATCACTATTAGGCATGCATGTTAGCCCAATGGTGGAAGGCAGTGTGTAATGGCTAACTCTGACCCTAACAATAACACTATGAACTTGTTTAATTATCGAACCAGCATAAACCGGAGTGAGATGAAAGCCAGAAAATGATGACCAAGGCCCAACATCGGCCACATGCAAGTGCAATTGTCATTTATTAATCGTCATAATCGCAATAATTTTTTATGTCAATATTGCCCAACCCTATTCCCAAAGCACAAAAAGTGTAACTTCCATTCAGGTGTTTTATGCAACAGCCTTCAGTCTCATAAAATACCCGGCTGCTAATGCTGATTATCTCCAAATGGCACGTTACCATCCTGATTATTCAGTTTAATAATTACCGTATTTATTCAAGTATCATATGTAAAATTAAATCCAGAGAACGGAGGTGTGGCCAGAACGAGAGAACGTGACGGCCTCGGCTGAGCTGTCCGCCTCATAGGACAGAGGAGTGGAGCGCTCCGCGACAGCCTGACATAAAAAAATTAAAGCATACAGCTGCAGCTCTCAAGATCCCTAGTTTAAATCAGGAATAAAAGTGTTGGGTCTTGTTTGACTGAAGTTTGGTCCGTTAGGGCTGCAGCTGCCCCGCTGTGTTTCTGCCTTTTTTTCCCTCCTCCCTGTGCAGGACGTACTGCTGGTGTGTGTGTGTGTGTGGGGGGGGGGGCAGCAGTCAGCTCTCCCCACCCGAGGCTGAAGG